TGTGTGTGTATAAGAACAATTAACATGCGATCTGTCCTCTTAACATAATTTAAAGTGCAAAATATCATATTATTAACTATAAGTACTATGTTATACAGTAGATCTCTAGAACTTACTCATCTTGCCATGAAACTTAATATTTCTAAATATTGAACTTAGAGTCCTAATATAACATACACTTACCCACATCAAATATCTCTAGAAAGCCTTGAAAAGAAAACTATTTTCTCCAGAAAGAGTAACTCTGAGAAATTCTACAACTGTTTTTCTTTCTTTTTCTTTCTTTCTTTTTTTTTTTTTCATTTGGAAGAAGTTTAAAATTATCAGTGATAATACACTGTTCCTGGCTCCTGGGCTACATACTGACCGACAGAGAAGAGAAATGAAATAGCCCAGTCACTGCCTAAGCACATCTGGTTTTGGTTTTAAGCACTGAGCCATATCATAATGTCTAGATTTGCCCTTTAAATTAACATCCCATTATCATGTTTTCTGGCAGGAAACTGTACAGATTGCAAATGGAGTTGGACTTAGAACTCCACAAGAAATTAGAGCAGTGACAGTTTAGACATTAAATACTAAACTCTGGCTTGCAGAGTCCCAATATAACCTGAGTTATTTCAAGCTATAAGACTGAGAAAGGCAGAGAGTGAATTGGTTTCTGAGAAAGAGTTTAGATGGGAATTGGAGGAAAGCAAGAATGGATACAACGGCAATATTCAACCACAATATATGATTCTGTGTTAGCAATTATTAGTTACTAGTGTTCTCTTTGTTCTCTGACTTGGTGCACTCAAATTGGGCTGGATTAGGATTTTTTTTTTTTTTTGAGACAGAGTCTTACTCTGTTGCCTGGGCTAGAGTGCCATGGTGTCAGCCTAGCTCACAGCAACCTCAAACTCCTGGGCTCAAGCAATCCTTCTGCCTCAGCCTCCCGAGTAGCTGGGACTACAGGCATGAGCCACCATGCCCGGCTAATTATATATATATATATATATTTTTTAGTTGTACAGATAATTTCCTTCTATTTTTAGTAGAGACAGGGTCTCACTCTTGCTCAGGATGGTCTCGAACTTCTGACCTTGAGCAATCCACCCACTTCGGCCTCCCAGGGTGCTAGGATTATAGGGGTGAGCCACCGTGCCTGGCCTGGATTAGGATTATTAGGCATAAGCAATGCAAAGTTTCAGACCTTCTAAAGCACCAGCTTCTAGGGAACTCAAAATAAAGCGATACAGACAAAGGTAGAAAAGAATAATTATAAAACATCAATTATTACATTTTAAGATTTTTTCATTTCCTTTTGGAGCCTGTTTTGCTAGTCCCCTAAGTATATGACTGCTTCAGTTAACACATAATCCAGCACTGCATCCAAGGCATCCCAAATGCAGTTTGCTTCTTATTCATTACTTTATGGGTGTCTCAAAAATTTAAGAAAATCACCCACCAGACAAACTTAGATAGACTGTCCTAGCTCCCTTAGCTGTTTCGTGATGACTTTTCAAACTAATTTTGTCAAATGAGTCAAATATCATTGCATGTATCCCTGCACCCAATTCCATAAAATACACTTTGCAAATGCATTATGCACAACAAAGCCGACCATTTGTAGGAAGGAAATCACTCAGGAAATCTTCCTGTGGGTAAACTCATTAAATATTTCCACAACGCCCTCAAGATAGATTTCAAAATCTTCAGCATGAGTTACAGGACTCTCGGGTCTGCCTTCCACTGAACCCTCTAACTTATTTCTTGTCCCTCTTGTGACCAGTGTTTCTAGTTAAATGACTGGTGGTTTCTCATATCCCTTACTCTTTTTTAGAGCTTAGAATGATGCTCTGCCTAGAAAAGCAATGCCCAGAGAATATAATGCAGCATATATAATTTTAAATTTCTAATAAGCCCATTTAAAAAGTAAAAGAAACTGAAATTCAGATGATAATGTTTTGGCTCAATATGTCCAAATACATGAACTGGCAGCCGCGTGGCTCATGCCTATAATCCTAGCACTTAGGAGGCTGATGGATTGCTTGAAGTCAGGAGTTCAAAACCAGCTTAGCAAGAGCGAGACCCGTCTCTACTATAAATAGAAGAAATTAATTGGCAGCTATATATATAGAAAAATTAGCGGCATAGTGGTGCATGCCTGTAGTCCAGCTACTCGGAGGCTGAGGCAGCGGAGTTGCTGAGCCCGAGTTTGAGGTTGGCTGTGAGCGAGGCTGACGCCATGGCACTCACTCTAGCCTGGGCAACAAAGCGAGACTCTGTCTTAAAAAAAAAATACATGAACTTGTGATTGATATAAAAAGTTAATAAGGTATTTTACACTATTTCTTTGTACGAAGTCTTCAAAATCTAATCACACAGTGCATCTTGATTCAGGCTAGCCAAATTAGCTATGTGGCTAATGGCTACCACATTGGACATTGCAGGGTAGAAAACCTTTGTTTTCTCTCCCCTCAGTATTTAGATCAATCTCACCCTCCCTGGAGATGGCCTCTGGCATTCCCAGGTCTGGGTGCCCATCCACATACTACCACAGTACCATGGTTGTACCCTTGGTATTTAATAATAGTGCTTATCATATCCTACCACCTGTTTGAGTATCTATCTGCCAGTAGAGTTAGAGCTGCCTGGATACGGGGACCATGTCTTTCCTAACTTGTTTATCCCAAGCACCTGGCAAATGTTTATCACAGAAAGAACTATGATTTTCATTTATGTTAAGCAGAAATAACACATAATTGTCCAAGTGGGAATTGATACAACAGTAAGTACCAAATCTTTATTAAATACTTATTACCTGTAGGTCACTCTGTTCGTAAAAAATCTCTATGTCTTAGGCTTTTTTTAAAGATCCTTTTCAAAAACAAAGACAATCTCAAAGCCAAAATTTTCACAATAAAGGTAAAATGATTTAATATAAGCCAAGTTGACATTTGTACTATTGTTAGTCCTCTTTCAAAGAGAACCGATAGAGATTGTCTTACTCAGAGAATTAACTAAGGAACTGGTCAATATTTTTTAAACAAAGGGCAGCAGGGTGACATCTTCTTCGAAGCGCAGGCTGGTGACTCTCAAGGTGCTTTTGGTTCACCGAGGCCAATGACACGATTTGATCTATTTGAAAAGGGCCAAACTAGCAAAAAGACAAAAAGACACCTTCCTTCCTTTCTTCACTCTAGCTATGTAACTGGTACTAAATCATCTCTAGGAAGTATTAAATAAATACATGCCATTTATCTACATATTTTTGATTGAAATATTAATCTGGCTTTGGTTATAACTCTTTGTGTTTTTTCCCAAATAAGCAAATTTATCATGAAACTGTTAATCTCTCTCTGTAATGTCCTATTTTTGAGGGGAAAAAAATGAAGAATTTTATAAACTATGAGTTTGCAAATACCAAAATAACTATTTTCCTACACACTTACTCAACATGATTCTCTTTTGTAATAATTAACTGTAATGTGCCATATTAAAAGGCTTTGTAAACTATATGGCACTATATAAATGTGAGTTATTATAATTATTGAATAGGCCATTAATTAAATACAGCAATATCAGAAAAATTGAATTTTTAATTTTCATTAGTCTTTGTAAGTGTTAACTAATGATACTCTGGCAAATCTTAATATCACCGTTCATTTGAAAGTTGAGAAAAATGAGGGAAAGTGTTGTAATTTGCACACGGCTTTTGATTCAGGCTTAGGTAGATTCAAAGTTAAATGGCAGCAAATCCTCCAGAACTTTAGCCTAACTGTTCAATTACTTCTCATTTATTTCTCCTTGATTGCTTGTGATTAACAAACCTCTCATTTAACCTTTTTCCTCCAACCGGTAACTGAAGGCCAATGCTTGATTCTGATTCCATTAGTCAGCTCTTTTATATATAATAGATTTTTCAAAATTTTGTTGATGTTAGTGGGTTTTCTTAAAGGTACCCTATAAATCTAATACAGTCAAAAATTATTTCCCTAAACCTTAATTAGCGTATATGCAAGATATATGCGAAGCTGAACTTCACTGAACCAACTCAGTGGCTGGCACAGACAGGTAGCAGCTGCAGTGAATAGAAGCCACTTGATCATCCACGGCTTCCTGGAGCACCATGTTAGGAATGACCCTAAGGCTCTGCATGGGCTCAGTGGGAAAGAGTTCCATGATCGATTAGCAATGTCTGCCATGGGCATGGACTGGACATTGACAACTGGACTGCCTTGTTTTTACCATCCAAAGTCTAAGTTCATAAGAAGCAGTAGGGGGCTGGGGAAAAGTCTAGTAAGTAGCTGTTGAAAAAGACCTTCAGAGACCAGACAAGTGTAACATAACCTGGATCTTTACACGGAATGGTCAGCACGGTGTACACGTCAAGTGAATATAACACCCTCTAGTAAGTGGTGCTGAAAATCCATACAAAGTTATTGAAAAGTAGTTCATAAGAAATGTGGACGTGTCAGCTACCCAGTTAGGGTTTGACCCATCACAAGTAAGAAATGATGACTTTCTTAGCAAATCTTCCCCTACTGCCTCCTTTAAATCTAACTTGAACCCAGTCTCCTCGTGGACAACTTAATTCTCATGTCTGCCAAAAAGATAAAAACTGAAACCAAACAGTAATATGTCCTCATTTTCCACTCTGAGAAAGTAGTAACAGGAAATAGAAAGAAAAACTCATCCTGTGATCAGATGAAACCAATATCTAACCGAATAAATCTCTACTCCCTCCATTTTTCAAAACAAAAGTTGAAAACAGTAGGAAGTTCAAAGTGAAACTGTGAATGAGAAATATACTGACTTAACACTTTGTTTTCCAACAAGCAGGGTTAAGAGGGGTTGAAGACTTACTGACATTTTTAGGACAAAAGACTGAAAATGGCCTTTTCTAACAAAGACTTAGCTTTCGTTTGTTTTCTAATCTACCAAAAAAAGAAAAAGCACACAGGAAAAGCAAAAAAGAAACCCTCTTTTAAAATGAAAGTTAGCTCCGAGCTGCTTACAATTGCCTTCTGCCTCTGCCTCTCCCTTTGTTTGGCCCTTTCAGATTCCCGCTTCTCATACTCTTTGCGGTATTCTTCCCTCTTCAGCCTTTCGTGCTGATATTCCTCGTAGCTGTCATACCTGGGAAACACAACTTCATCGTTAAGTCAACCACCTCAATTTGCATGAGCAACATGAATAATAATTTGGGGCCAGGGGTGGGGCTTTCCATAACATCTTGTCATCTAAAGGAGGGGATGAAAGGAGCCGAAGGGAAATGCCATAGCTCATTACCTGGGCCTACGGCTGTAGGGCGATCTCGAACGTGATCTCACATACAAGGGAGAATTTCGGTGCGTGCGGTGTCTGTAGTGGCTTGACTCGTAGTAGTAGCAGGATCTGGGAGAGAGCAGAAAAACAAAAAGGGCATTTGTAACTGCCACTTAAATCGAGTTTATCAGCGCTACTGAACATCCGCTGGAACACCGTTATTACATAAAGCGGCGTTTTCTTTCCAGCTACTAGTGAGATTTCCCAGTGACAGTTTGTGATCATCTAGTCAGCTCAGAGGTCTGGGAATGATGTGTTCTCTCTCAGCGTCCCTTATTGATGCTAACACTGAGCACCGGATCTGGTACACTGTCAGCTTTATCTTGCGTGGATCTCAACTATCCTGGCACAGGGCAGCTCTCCAGGTAATGGAAAAAGTTAGATGAGCAAGTTTCTTACAAATTGCTCTCTCTGATCTGACTGGCTCAAGGCACGGTGTTCAGAGCTGACAGATTTAAGGGAACAGGGAAAGGGTTGTATGTGTAACAACATTCTCGTTAGTTCCAGCGTCACTGGGAGTGCAGTAGTGAGGGGATAGTCTGGCTGTGGGTTTTGATTACTTTTTTTTGAATTCCTGGGAACATCTTATGCATTTGGGTGAGAGTTTTGCCAAGGTTTACCTTGAAGAGGATCTACTGCCTGGAGACCTTGATCTTGACCTGGAATACGGTGATCGGGAACATGACCTGTGTCTAGAAAAGGACCTTGAACGAGAGCGCATCCTTTGGGGTCTTTGAGAAAATAAGGATTTGGGTGGTGACACGGAATCTCTACACGGAGAGTTAAAAGAAGAGCAAGAAGGAGACACATCGAACAATGAATAGGATTGCGTGCCATCCCAAGGGTAGCTCAGTTTATCACTTTCATCTTCGCTGTCATCAAACAGGCCATCCATGGCTAGTCCTGAATTTATAAACATAGGTAGTTTGGAGAATTGTTCATTACTGAAATCACTGTCCCTCAGTTCACTGGTCTTGTCTGCTTCGTCGTCAAAAACAGCTTGACTGGGATGACCGAAGTGCTTGTTCAGCTCGGCTCGGATTTCCTGGTCTTGGAGCTGTTTTCTGGTGCTGCAAGGAGAGACCTGCTTGCTGGCCTCCGAAGTCTCTCTCAGGTAGCACTGGTCGGAATCTGTGGAAGAACAAATCTGCCCCTGCCAATCAGAGGAGGCATCTTTATATTCTAGTTGTCTAGAGTCTTGGAACTCCTGTGATATATTAATGAGTATTTCCGCTTTGGAATTAATCGACTGACAATAGTCATGGTCACCAAACAGCCGTAGACTGGGCCGCTTGGACTTCCTTTCCTCGAGTCCGCTGGTGAGCACAGCGGACTTGCTGAGTTGTGCATACAACTCGGATTGCTCGGGCCCTTTCTTGGTGGAGTTATTGCCTTGGGTACCAGAAGACTCACTGTACCGGGGCTTCTTTGTTGGTGGCGGCACCACAGTCTTGCAAGAGGACTTCAGCTTTGGAGAAGCCCTAAAAGGGTTATCTTGGTTGGCTTTATGAGGAGGAGTTGTGGGTGGAGTTAGGCCTAAGGCAAAAAAAGGAAAAAAAAAAAAAAAAGAGAGAGAGAGAGAGAAAGAAAAGAGACAGAGATAATGTTCTTAAATGCCAAGATACGTTTTCTAACTTTTCCAAGATTTCAGACAAGGGTTCAAACTGAGTGAAGAAGAAGGAAACTAAAATCATGGCAAGACCTGAAACACTGAGTCTTCCCCTAAGCCTCTGTCATCAAGAAAAGATGGTTCTATCACAGCGAGAGCTGTGATCTTTTCTGTTTCAAACACCAATGCTAACATACCCGGCTTCCCTGAAAACACGAAGGCGTCACCCCTGGCTTGCACAGCACCAGGCATTACCAAAGGGACAGTATAGGCTGATGTATGGAAAATTAATAACAGTGAGGGTTGGCAGTCACAGAACAGCCTTGGTGGCATTTGTCTGCAAAGAACACTGAGGAGGATCCAAGCGGCTCAGGGTTCTTTGTTTAATCAAGAAAATCTACACTTGGAGCCAAGAAAGTAATAGCAACTTACAAAAAAAAAAAAATTATATAATTATATACACGTATATACTAGTATATATAGGATGACAGCAAATGTGGGGCAGGGTGGGAACGACATAGACAACTTCAAAGTGAGTTCTGCAAAACACGACAGACAAATGCAGAGAACCTGGAGCAACGCTATGACTTGACGTCTGTGATTCTTTGTCTCCACAGTTCATTAACTTAGTAAACCATGGCTAATGTAGGTATAATGCATTCTTGTAAGCATAACTAATACATTCTGTATAAAATATGGTTCTGCAACAGAAACCCAAGTGAACAGTAACACTAAATATCGCAGTGCCGGTGGACCATTTTATTTAGAGCGCAACATCCGCGCGGGGCGAAGAGACTGAGGGGTTGAAACGAACCCAAGCTTCGGCAGCTAACTAATTAAATAAATAAAAAGTAAAGGAAGAAAAGGGAATAGCCCTCCGCCGTTGCCTTTCTTGCTTTTCTACGGAAGGGCAGAAATTCCTTCAGAAGCCGCTGTGAGAGAGTCTATACAGCGTGGTAGTTCTCTCTGCTAAGTTTCCCCCCTGAGTAAGTCCTACTTATCCCTTTGTGTGGAGGAGGGATCACTGTGAAATGGCTCCGGAGTCCAAGGAACTTTGAAGAAGGGCAGGCTGGAGTTCAAATGACTTCATGCTTACAAGGGAGCATTTTAGTTTACAATACACTTTCTATTTAGGAGGCTGGCTGAACGCTATTCAGCAAAAAGAACTTCAAGTCTGCTAACAAGCCTGGGGTTAGACTTAAGGCAAGTTTCAAGGAAAAAAAAATCCTACCTTGCTGGAAAAAAAAAAATTATATATATTTATATATCAAGAACCAAGTAGGTCACAGAAAGCCACATGAAATTTTGATAGGAACAGGAAGATGCTACCTCTCCTACTTGACAATAGAGAGATGGAAAAAAATTAGTGCTTTCCCTAAAATGACATGCTGTACGCCAACATTTGGTAATTTTTATTATTCATAGCGAATTCTCCCTAACTGAGGGGAGAAAGGGTCCAAATATGCTAAGTGGTTTGACTGTGGAATTCCATCCCAGAAAAATTCAGAGAAACAAGGAGAGGAGGACACTGCTGTCCCTCCATGCCATGCCTGAGTCTCAGCAAAGCTCCTTTTGGTGGCAGCTGCCCTTGTATGCCTGCCCACTCTGGAAGCAAGGCTGGGTGACTCACATCACCAAATGAAACGTGGGCACACTCTCCTTTTGTTTCCTCTTTCATTGGCGAATTTGTCTTTTCCTCAATGGAATAAATTCCTATATGATCAATCGTTTCTTTTTTCCCTTTATTTCCTTTATTTTTTGCACTGCCCTAGCCATACATTCTGATTTCTAGCACACACTACCTTCAATTACCACTACAGTAAATTTAAGGATATTAATTCCCAGTAAAGAAATGGCACATTCTCAAATATTCCCCATAGGAGCCTGAGATGCTGAAAGAAATAATGATGAATAATCTTTCTTCGCTGAGTAAATACCAGTCAGATGTGTTGAACGACATAGCCCTTGAATCGGAAGAAATGACATTCACCACCCTAAAATTCAACTTCATAAATCTTTCCATGATCACCTCAATTTAGGGAATTTTTCTACTTCTCCAATAATTTACTGTCAGAATCACCCTCTTGATATCTATCACATACTGCTATATATTCTTGCTTATCTCTTTCTGAATGTGAATTATATCTTGTCTCTCCAAATAGATTATAAGGTCTTTGTGGGATGTTGCTTGGGCTTATTTGTTGCAACATTATTTTACTCATTTCTTTTTTTTTTTTTTTAATCTTTCTAGATTCTCCTTTAGTAATGGTCTCACATTTCAGCAGCCCAAGAATCACTTGGGAAACTGAGTAAACGTGTGTGATGAGATGATTCACAGACCACGTTTGGAGAACCACAGTCCTATGGTGTCTCTGCAGCACATTGCTTTGTACTCTCAGGTATCATGTTTTGACTGACATTCTCGATTTATAAAAAGAAACCCTAAACTTCAGAGACACCAAATTAGGCCACTATTAAAGAGAGACTAGTTCTAAAAATAACTCAGGTATCTAGGGATTTCAAATATAGAAATTCCTTTTAGTCTTGAAAATTTGAAACCCCTGTCCTAGCACCTAACCTCATTATCCCTTAAATAACTGGTTCTCAAGTTCCTCTTGGGATTGGCAACACCCTGATTGTACTTTCTTTGAGTTAAAAACAAAGCCTTTTACCTCTTACACATCTTAGACAGACTGTGGCCGCTTAACAGACATTCACTGAACACCTAGAATGTGCTAGATACAACACCAGACGCTGGTATTTCAGGGACTCAGCCTCCAAGGACTTCACAGTTCAATTTAATAAAGAGGCAATTCTTTCAAATTTGACATAAGCATATTTTCCTGCAGCCATGCTTAAAATTTACAGAAACACTCAGAGACCACCAAACCAATACCAGGGCTGTAAATTTCTGTTGGCACCACTTGTTGAAATGAATACTTACAGGATGAAAGACATTTTAGGATTAGTGAGGAGGTGGATGGGGAAAATAATTTAGATAATTATCTAAACTTTTTACTGTTTACTAAAACATCTTTCAATGAAGAATATCTCAGAGCAAGAGAGAGAATCTCACAGATGATAAGGCTTCATATCACCAAGTGCCTGAAGGTCTGTCTCCATGTATAGTCGGGACCCAAAGCAAACCAAAACCAAACAGAAGTGCAAGGAGGATGTTTTTTTTTTCTTTAAACATAGTGTCAAACTTTTAAGAGCTGCGAATGGGACAGACAACCCCTTTCTGCTGACCCTGAAATAGAGGCATTTCTCTAACCTCACATCCTCTACCCAGAACTTTTTCCCCTATGGTAGGAGGGGGTCAATACTGCATCCCTTGATGCCACTATCTTTGCTCATCTTCCCACTAATCGCCTGACTCTCGATTTCATGCCACAAACCTAAATCAACAGTATTAATGCCTCCCATAACCTCTGGATTATTTCCTGCGTGTTGATTTTCTGGGGAATGTGTACATTTTGGTGTTGACAGTACAAGGTATATTCCGTGCTCTCTCTTGAACTTAGCAGGTTTTGACAGATTTATGTGAGGACAGATGGCCATTACAGGCTGAGGGCTGACAAGAGGCAGTTCAGAGCATTGTTAACACACTTGCACAAACTCTCAGCAGTGCAGCTCGGTGCAGAATGTAATTCAGACTATAGCTTTTTTATTGCTGCCTATTTTCTTTTGTCAAAAGAGCCTGCTGTGCAGAGCAACAAATGGCTGCTATTACCCAGAATGTAATGGGTGTCAGACAAATCACGTAACACAAACAATCAAGAGTATGTAGGTCATATTTCAACAGAGCACAACCTTAGCAATATTTATGATTACTGCATTGAAATGTGCTCTATAATAAACAAGTACCTCTACATCACTCACACTTATGCACTTCTGCACAGCAAATCTGGGAGAAGTGGTACACACTCTACAGTCATCTTTTTAAACAGCACTTTTGTTTAAAAAAAAAAAAAGTCAAAGACAAGTTTTGTTTTGTTTTTCATTATGTGCTATAAAACGATTTTCTTTGAGGAGTTCCCTTTTGGGTTTGTTTGTTTAATTGAATGACTCTGATAAATGGTGAGGCCTCTGCTCCATTTCTCGTGCTTCACTATGCACCCAATGACTTCTGCAGGACTTTTTTTTTTTTTTTTTGGTAATGGTTTATAACATTTTACAGAATCGACCAAGAAATCTGCAACTTACTTTTGAGTTTGTTTAACAGTGGGAATTTGCTTGCATTGCATACCATTTCGGGTATTTAAGGGAAAACAATAAGGAGATGAGTTTCTAGGAGGCTTAAAAACACACCAAAATAAGAAGAGGGGCAAAGAGAGGTGTGTCATTTGTCCTACTCATGTATTTTCATGTATTTTCTTGATACCTACTTGGAGTAGGTATCAAGAGAGCATAGGGAAGGCTGATATTCACTTGCTACCACCTTTACTTCACTTTACCGCCATAGTAAGTTGTTAAAATATTTAGTTGATAAAAGCTGCTCTGGCGCCTTCCAATCAATCCTCCACCTCCACTTCCCCAGGACTCACTGGAGCTCCACAGGGTCCAGCAACTCAAGTGTCAACCCTTGACACAGAGCAGAGAGACCGCCCCAACCTTCCTCTGGTCCCCTGGCTGGCCTCAGTCCACTGAGACTGGGACTGGTCTGCCTTTCCTGCTTTTTAAGTATTTCTCATATCAACCCTGATTACTGGGGAACAAACTGGCCTTGCAGAAAAGCTTCAGAACATTCCTATGACCTGTGCCGAATTGCCCACCTCTTACTCATGGAAGATGAAGATATCATTAAATGGCCCTCGTGCACGTTCTCACAGAACTGAGACAGCAGATGGAGGGAGGGAACCTGGATTTCTAGGGGTCTACCACCAAATCCCAAAGCTGATGTGGGAGAGGAAATTGCTTTGATATA